TGATGTTCATTTTTCCAGTAGTATGTTGGGATACTATCTGGAAGAGCCTTTATCCATCCTGGCCAACAGCTCGACTGAAGGTATCACCTGTCTGGCTTTGCTGTTTGTCAAGTAACTTTTAGCTATATATATGTATGCTTGAACTTTTAAATGTCTTCCTTCAGCCTCTCTAGTAGTGAGAACTATAGGCCTGGCCTGTGTTGTTTGAAAGTGGATTAACCTTTTTAATTCTCTATCTCTATCTATTATCTATCTATCTATCTATCTATCTATCTATCTATCTATCTATCATCTCAGCTCTCCTCTTTCTATCTATGGATAAGTTTTCAGTACTTTGTGAAATCTCTTCCATGGAGGCAAGTTCCTCCTTACTATCATCTATCTATCTATCTATCTATCTATCTATCTATCTATCTATATTTATCTATCATCTATGTACCTATCAATCATTTTTTATTTTATGTGTGAGTATATTGCCTGCATGCATGTAAGTGCACCCGTGTCGTGCATTGTCCGAGGAGGTCAGAAGAGGGTGTCAGAGTCCCCTAGAACTGGGGATGGTTGTTAACTGCCATTTGGGAGCTGTGAATCGAACCTGGGTCTTCTGCAAGAGCAACCAGTGCTCTTAACCTCTGAGCCATCTCTCCAGTCCCTTAACTCTATATTTTAAGATTATGTCTTGGCCCTCATTTGCAGATCTTCACTGTTAAGCCTACCCACTTTTCTGAATTCAAACTGAAAAAGTATAACTTTTTCCTTTCCCTACTTTCTTTCTTGTCTTTATATAATAGTCCGAATCCTAAGCACATTGGTTCCGACCCTCTGACTTTCTCACTGTTTTCTCTGACCTCTGCTTCCCAGCTGCTTGCAGACTTCATTCCTGATTTTAACTCAAAAGACAGGACTTTCTTCTCCTGGCACTTGCCAGGATTTGCAGCTTGCCTACTCTGCCTGGTAGTTTTTCTCTGAAACTAATGCAATAGCACTCCAGCTCCCTTCTGAAAAAGAAAAAGAAAAGAAAAAGTGTGTGTGTGTGTGTGTGTCTGGGGTTTGGAGAGGTGGTTCAGTGGTTATGAGTGTGTACTGCTCTTCCAGAAGACCTGAGTTTGATTCCTAGCACCCTACATTAGGGAACTCAAAACTGCTTGTAACTCCAGGGGATGACATCTTCTGGCTTCTAAGGACACTGCCTTCATGTATATATATCTACACATAGACACATATACATACATACATACATACATACATACATACATAAAATTTAAAATAATATAAGCATTTAAAAATATGGCCTAAAGCCAGGCATGTTGGTACACACCTTTGATCCCAGCACTCAGGAGGCAGAGGCGCATGTTGATCTCTGTGAGTTCAAGGCCAGCCTCGTCCTCATAGTGAGTTCCAGGCCAGCCCCCACTACAGGGAGACCCTGCCTCAAAAACACCAAAAAAAAAAAAAAAAAAAAAAAAGTCCTATGTTCACTTTTTTATAAATTCTGCTTTCATAGGATTGAATCTTTGGAGGAAGAAATTATTTCAAAAGGAGTTAAACTTGTGATTATTGACTCCATTGCCTCTGTGGTCAGAAAGGAGTTTGATATGCAACTTCAAGGCAACATCAAAGAAAGAAACAAGTTTTTGGCCAAAGAAGCATCCTTATTGAAGTACCTGGCTGAGGAATTTTCAATCCCAGTAAGTTTTTCCTTTCCTTCTTTTCTATTAAATTCACTGAATTATAATATCAAGTAATAAAATTAGAGAACATTATTACAAATGTAACTTAAAAGGTAGAACAGTTTAATTGCTATAGCAAATAACTCTGGTTTCTTAAATTAGTTTGTCTGCTGAGATTACTTTTCCCTTTTTATAGTTGAGACTGGGGCAGATTTAACTGGTTTTGAGAGTTCCCAAAGTTGATCTCTCCACTCCTCATTGTTTACTCATTGTATATGTTTACATTTTTTAAATTTATTTTTATGTGTATGAGTGTCTTGCCTACATGTGTATAAGTGCACCTATGTTGTGCAATGCCTGCGGAGGCCAGAAGAGGGTGTTAGATCCCCTGGAACTGGAGTTAAGGACAGTTGTTAACCACCATGTGGGTGCCAAGAACCAAATTTGGGTCCTCTGCAAGAGCAGTCAGTGCTCTTAACTGCTAAGCCATCTCTCCAGCCTACTCATTGTGTATATTTTATATCACATCTGTCATACTATAATAACTGATAAATAATAAAATTCTATGGAATTTCCTAGATCTGGTTCTGTGAAGTTTCTTTTGTAGTGGAGGTGTCAGTTTTATGAATTAAATACTTTAGGTTTAGATTGTGTGGTTCTATGTTCAGTGCTATTTTTGGTTTGCTTCCAATGGCTAGAGGTAAATCATTAAGGAATGTTTGGAGTGATGGTATTGGAAATGCTCTTGAGAAAACCTGAAAGGTAGCTATTGGGATGACTTTCTGTTGTGGGACTGTGATCAGGAAATCTGAGAGGAAATAGTAAGGGTTAGTGGTATACAGTCTGCAACACAGAAATGCATAGTTATGCTCCCCTCATCTACATGTTGTATATGTTCCGTAGCCCTAAGAACACTTAGTATTGTTAGGTTCTTCTCTTTCAAGACAGTCTTGCTCTATAGCTTTGACTATCTCCAACTAGACCTTCCTACCTTGGCTTTGAGTGCTAGGATTATGGGTATGTGTTACCACACCAGCTAGGCCTTTCAATTTTAGTCATGCCTCATTCAAACAGAAGGAAATTCTTTAAGCTGAGAGAAAGTTTGTTTGAGATTTTACAATTTTTCATTCATTTGGGGGAAATTGAAATCTTGGATCATTGCATCAAGGAATATATGCAAATAATGTAAAGCACCATCCAGCCTTTCATTTGTATAGACAAACACGAAGTCAAAGGAGGGAATATCATGTATGTAAGTTTCTACATATGTTAATGGCTCTTGGATTCATAGTTCTGATTAAAATCAACTACTACAATGTTTATTTTGAATGGTTCTTATCTTTTAAATTTTCTTTTCATTGGTTAAAATGATATATTTGAATTTATGTTTTTATGGGTCAAGTAAAGTAAAGATATTTAAAGACTATTTCAAAGAGATACTTAATTCAACTTAATTTAAAACTACTTATGTGTTTATTAATTTATAATGCTGCATGATCTAAATCTGTATAAGATGTGAAAACAAATTTTTTTTTAAGAAAAGAAATGATTTTATTTTTTTTTTAGTTACATGTGGATGAGTATATTGCCTGCATGTGTGTAAGTGCACCCATGTTATGCAGTGCCCATGGAGGTCAGAAGGGGGTGTCAGATCCCTGGAACTGGAGTTACAGATGATTGTTAGCCACCATGTGGATGCTGGGAACTGAACCTGGGTCATCTGCGAGAGCAGTCAGTACTCTTAACCACTGAGCCAGCTCTCCTGCCCCTGAAAACAAATGTTTTTAAAAGTTGGATTAAAAAAAAAGTAATTATAGGCTAAGGCTTTTAAGTTTTCTAAGATGATTTATCTTCCTCAATGAGAAAAAGATTTTGCTTTTCTTTGTTTTTAGTAGAGCCCTCTGACAGACTAGGTACTCAGTGTCTGCACTCTGACAGAAGAGATACTCAGTATATCTGCCCATTTTTATCTTGACTGTATTTCCTTGCTTAGATAGAAATACACAATGTACTTATTAATGCAGATTTTTTTCTTTAACAGCAAAGTATTGATTTTAAAAATGCATTTGAGGTGCTGGAGAGATGGCTCAGCAGTTAAGAGCACTGGCTGTTCTTACAGAGGACCTGGGTTTGATTCCCAGCACCCACATGGTGGCAAACAACCATCCCTAACTCCAGTTCCAGGGGATCTGACACCCTCTTCTGACCTCCAAGGCACTGCATGACATGGATGCATTTACACACATGCAGGCGATATACTCATCCACATAAAATAAAAATAATAAAATATTTTTTAAAAATGCATTTGAAAAATACTTCTTTTAGGAAATGTTTGAATATTCTTAGCCCAGTCACCTCATTTCACTGGAAAATTATGAAAGCTGTTCTTTGAGTAGATGATTTCATATATAAACAAATTCATCCCTCTTGACTCCTAATTTTTTGAGACCATGGTCACATAGCCCAGGATAGTCTCAAACTTTCCCTGTAATAGAGGCTGACTTTAACTCCTGAATGTCCTGCCTTCACCTCTCAAATGTGGGGATTATATGCATGGTAGTCCATGCCTGGCCAAAACCAAAATTTTCAAAAGTCTATTGTTTTCTAGTTTATTGTATTTTTCAAAATAGCAAGCCTTGTGCCTCTTTGAGGCACATTTCTGCTTCAAGGGGTGTTTGTTCTTCCTTAGCCTGAAATAGTTCTCTTCTCAATAACCATGTGGCTTTTCTCCCCTGATTCCTTGTTAGTGAGAACTCACCTAACTGTGTAACAATTAACCACACCCACTTCTTATTAGGCTTTGTTTCTCTTTGGCAGTTTTCATTTTAGCATGGTATATAGCTCTATTTAAAAATTTTCATTTGTTTATTTTTGGTTTATGTGCATGTGTGTTTTGTCTATATGTATGTAAGTACACCCATGTCATGCAATGCCTGTGGAGGCCAGAAGGGGGTGTTGGATCCCTTGGAGCTGGAGTTGTGGACAGTTGTTAGCTGCCATGTGGCAGAGAACCGAATCTAGGTTCTCTGCAAGAGCAGCCAGTGCTCTTAACTGCTGAGCCATCTCTTCTGCCCCTCTTTACTATTATTGTCAATAGTAAGAAAATACAGCTTTTGGTGGCAGAATTACCTTATTATATTTAAACTCTACTCAGATTACATTGGCATCTTGTAGGAGCAAATAACAGTTGTTGAGATTTTTAAAATGGCTTTAACCATGTAGACTTGTCAGAGAAGCAGATTGTAGGAGATGAGATGTATCTCACTTAGTCTGGCAAAATTGTGACAGCTAGGTGTCTGATGCCTCTGAGGGTTGGATGAGAAGTTGTGCATTCTAGTCTGCTTTGTGGCTGTGAACTGAGATGGTGGATTGGGTCAGGACCATGCTAGCATTTTGGCACACTCAGATCTCTTTTCATTCAAGGATGAGTAAGAAATTGAATCAATATATGTGATCTGTTCAACATTTTGTTGATTTAAAAAATAATTATTGAGAATTTCATACATGCATACAAGGTATTTTGATTAAATCCATGCCCACTCCCTCCCTTCCAACTCCTCCCATATCTCCCCATCACTTTTTTCTGAAAACTTCATGTACCCTTTCTTCTTCTCCTTCTTCTTCTTCTTCTTCTTCTTCTTCTTCTTCTTCTTCTTCTTCTTCTTCTTCTTCTTCTTCTTCTTCTTCTTCTTCTTCTTCTTCTTCTTCTTCTTCAAATGGGGCTTTTTGCTACTCTAACATTCCCCTCCTCTGAAGAGGTGACCCTAAAATCCTTTAAGGATTAGATATGAGCTCCCAAATACTTTTGGCCTTTGGAACAGAGTATGTTGCTAAGAGGCGCAAGGGCATTTTGACCAAGAAACTGGCTACTTTTCTTTGGGGTCTTTTTACACCAACTGCCTAGCCAATTCCTACCTCCTATTCTTATCACGCCATGCTCTGAAGAGGTTACCCAACTTGCAGATAGGGAATCGGGGCACAGACAGCTCTGGCTTCCATGCTGAACAGGGACACAGGGTGAAGCAACTGGGGTACCCCTTCAGTGGGTCTCTCTAAAAGATTCCCAGATTGCATAACTCTTATCTGTAGGGGGAAAAGAAAGTCCTTAACTGGTGAATAGGAGATGTGAAGGAGAAGTAAAGGCAAGAGTAATTAGCATTACAAGTTCTAGACAGGGAACGAGAAAAAAGTCAGAACAGGGCAAATTTCAAATGTTCATATGAGAGTCCATTGGAGTTTCTTGATGAGAGCTTCCAAAAGCATCCCTCTATTGGGTTCCTCCTCATTTTTCTTTTGTCTGCCAAGACTGGACTCGTGATTTGGATTCAGGATTTGCTTTAGGCATTTTGATAGCTGTTGCAATGGTTAGAATCAGTGTCAGTTCCCTCTCAAAGTCTTCACCACATGGAGGCTTTAAAGTTTCTCTAAAAATAAAACTGCAGCATTTTATAATATGTACTATAAGCTTAGATATTTACATTTAATTTTGCTTATTAAACTGCATATGTGTTCATATATATATATACAT